AGCACCTTGAATTCAAACAGGTGTTCTTGCTATTAAATCATGTAAAATGTAGTTTAAGCTTGATCATCTTAGATAACTATCTATGTGAAGAAATATAAAGTAGAAACGTATTTTCTAGAAAAATAGCTGCATCATTCACGCACTAATAAAACCTAGAATCTAGGGTGAAGACAAGTAGCTTAAGCTCCTGTCGTCGTTGATAGGAACAGTACATAAAATAATAACTGAATATTATTTATAGCAACTATCCCTCAACCAGTTTCGATTATGGTCAAGTTTTTTAAGCTCTTTTATTAACTTAACAGACAATCTTATTCGAACAGTAACAACTCACATATTTCTTTGTACTATTATGAACACTACCATATCTGTATAAATATGCACTCATGATCACATGACAACCTACGCACATATCTCTCTCTAGCTTAAATGTTAGTGTCTTAATTATCGCTCGATGAGTGATTCCCTTCCATATGTATATATGTACTTGGATCCTATTATTGCCTTTGCCTTGCTTAGCTGAGTCTTATTCCATTTGACTATAAATTCGCCTCTATGTTCGCTCGCATACCCACATATTCACCTCTCTGATTCGTATTCGCTCGATATGCTTATAGCCTTAAAATCTGTGCTCTCTGTTAATTAACTGTGGTTGCCGCTACTTATTGTCTACTGATTTCAAACACCGTTGAGATTTATATGATAGTATTAGATTAAACTCACACTCGTATAAATTACGCACTATACAACCCATAAATATGCATGCATTCGAGTTGCTTGGTGTTATTTGTTCCGAACAATTCAGGTCATTCGATTATCTTAAGCCACGTGGTAATGTATTCTCACATCCGGATTTTGACATACCAATGGAGTTCCAAGTTGCTGCATCTGATACTAAACCAGCTACATTTGTTAAAAATAAACTGAATTTGGTGCATTTTAAACCATACTGTTACCTATTTAATTCTTATTGTACAAAAGTGGCTGTATTGCATGCCTCATCGCTGAGACATGAATAGACTACCTTCAAGTCAGCAGCGTACAATAAGTTATTTCCTAGGTTACAGCGGCTTTAAATGCTGTCGATGTAAAATACCCTAACACAATCCTTTGCATGACTATACTAGTTACGCTCTTAGGTGCTGATGACCTTGATATAACGTTGATAATTTGATACAGATAACCAAGGAATGATGTGGATCAACTGATTGAGGGGAGATGGGTTTCAACAGAATAACCAACCGAATGACTGCTATTAATTCAATTCGTTGTTCCCGCCTTCTTCACCGTCGGGTTTTACTCCGCGTTGAATGCTTAATATCTATCTCCCCAACTGTCCCATGTTGAGATTTAAGGATCGTGTATTTAAAACCTAATGTCACCACAGAGTTATGCATGACCTACTAGTTACGAAACTACGTTGAGATTTAGAAATAAGCTTTTGAGTTGGTAAGTAATATGAGGCACTGTTTTTAACGGCTGTTATTCGTAAAAAATGAACTGATATTTATGGATCTGTAGTTAGCTGAATTCGCTCTGTCCTCAGTCTTGCAGTGCACTTGATCTCACGGTTATTCGGGTATACGTCTGCACCTAATGACATACTGAATATCGTAAGAAGTATGAGCCGCCTGTCATCCCCACGTCTTCTAAGGAATATAAAGGGAAGATGTGGTGTTTGAATTAACTAATGATTCTTTTGTACTTGTTGAATGCTCGATTTCGAATTCTAAATACAATACATTCGTTTGTGCCTGTGTCTTCTTAATTCAATTGCGTTAATCCTGGAATTCCTAGTTCATACGATAATTTGAATACTATATTGGCGTCGCGATGGAGCCTGCAATGGAAAAGTTAGATATTCATTCAACTTCAGAAGCTTTTGAAGATTACTTTGAAAGGTTCGAAATCTGGGCTATGACCAAGGAAGATGATGAGGATGTTAATATTGTGGCACACTTCCTCACATTCATTGGAAAAGAAGCATACAGCTTATTAAGAACTCTGGCTATGCCGGAAAAACCCATTTCGCTTTCTTATACAGCTCTCAAGGATCTACTGCTAGACTATGCTCAGTATACAAATTTCAAATGTCGTAAAGGAGGAAGATTTCGTAAAATGATTCATGAGGATATAAAAAAGTCCACTACATTACTACGTCATCTCAACCTAGTGCATACTCAAGGTTATGCAGACAATTCATTGAATTTGGATGCAGTTCACGAGGATGGGGACAAGTTTGGTCAGTGTTTGTCCTGTTGCAAGTTCCACTCTTCTAATTCATGTAAATTTCATAATTCTAAATGCTTCAAATGTCGTGATATTGGACAAGTTCAGTCAGTTTGTAATGCTAATGTTCATCTTACTGCAATTAATATTAAGTCTTGTAATTCTGATTCTACTGAGTCGAGTATTCATGATGATCATTTATCTTTATCAACGATTTCAAAAGACAGTGCAGAGTCATATGGCAGTTCAGAGTTAAATGAAATCCAGAATTCTTGTGAGACAACATTTCCTAATCAACCGATTTATCAGAATTCTCATGCTATTGTACCAAGTATGACTTTTCCTAATGATTCACATATTTCTAATGAAATTACTTGCAATTCTGAGGAAAATATGTTAAATGAACCTAATCATGATCGAAAACCTGATGTGGTTTGGATAGATGCTGATTTTTCTAACGATCCTACGCTCTGCAGTGACAGTCCTGATGAATTTCATGAGAATATTTCAGAAGAATCAAATCCTGATGTCATATCATATATTACCTATCCTCATAATGTATTTGATCTTCGTGAAAAACCTGCCCAATGCGAAGCACGAGTACTAAGTGACCTCGAGTTTTATTATATTTCGGATGATTTCATATCAACTGCTGTTTACTCTTATCACAAAAACAGTTCTAATGTTTACTCTAAACAATGTGAGATATATGTTTTAAATGAAGCCACATTATTCATAACTTGGGAGTATAAAGATCCAACATTATTTCGTGGGGGGGGATAGTGTTGAAAAATCTATGGTTCGAATTCTAGATATTAATGATTTCATTACAAAACCGACATGCTGGTTGTATACAATTCCAGGTGAGTCTGTTCCGATTTCGTTTGTTAATTCCAATACTAATGAGCACTTTCTAGATACTACAAAGTTTTTATCTTATACAATGTCGGACAGACTCAGGATGAACTTAACAAGAAGACGTACAACCGATTACAAACACTTATACTTCTATTTAAGCTGTGGCGGATGTGGTGTTTGAATTAACTAATGATTCTTTTGTACTTGTTGAATGCTCGATTTCGAATTCTAAATACAATACATTCGTTTGTGCCTGTGTCTTCTTAATTCAATTGCGTTAATCCTGGAATTCCTAGTTCATACGATAATTTGAATACTATAGAAGACCGTTAATTTCTACACCTTTTGTAGTCTTATGACGTTTTATAGCTTCAGATACATTTTAGCAGTTAGATATATATTCATGCAGGTATTGAAAATAAGTGTCAAATTGTTGAGGTCAGCAGGTTGCTTTTAATTAAAGTTGCAAAAGCACTGCTAAATATTCCACATCTCTGGGGATAATTACCTGTTTTCTAATTGATTTCAGTGAAAGTGAAGTCAATAAAAACCAATTTGAAACCAACATTTGATATCGAAACATGTGTGAAAATTTTGGAAAATGTTATATCTGTTTCAAGTTTTAGGTTCAGTGTCCTATATACAGATCGTGCAAGTATCTTTAAGTAATGCTGCATAATATCAGTTATCACGAGTCTGGTATTGTACTTAGTATACTGTGTTCCGATTCTATCGCATTGGTAGGTTATTTACATAGACAATACATCCCATACCTCTATTGTGACTCCGGTTGAAATGTTGCAGTTAGTAATCATCTACACTCAGTTCTGAATGTAGTATTTTAGACGGGCAACACTTTTCGTTTATTAGGATGATTTCCGCATTTGTAAACTAGGCAGTCATCCTACTTTTCAACCATTTATTGCAAATCGAACGCGCGTTGACATGTGTAACAGTTAACAGAACATGGTTAGTTGGAAAGTAGTTCATTATTCTGTTCATACCTATCTGACTACACGTGTTTTGTTTGACTTATACAAGTAGCAATTCATCCAGGTTAATAAAACAGCTAGATGAGTACTTGCCTGTTTCCTGTGATGGTGAAAGTATAGAACAATGCAATAAGTAGATGGATTCAATGTCTACTGTCAGAAGCCACAAACTGTTCATATAGTAGTTATACATAGCGTTCGATCATCCAGTTGCATCCCGCAATGTTTCTGCAATTCAAACTATCCACTCGTCCAGTCTTCAAGGATTCTGAATACTCCATGCTGTTAATGTACCAGAACAGTTACCTCTGCCTGGTGATTGTGACAGCTTTGAGATCATGTTCCGCCATATACTACATAAAGCAATCCTGTGACTGCCATTTACCGCAATAGGACTGGGTCGTCGTTCATTTCGTCAGTGTCAAAAACGCCGTTTCAGTTCCTTAAATTACTTGCCGGATTTGCTGATGTGATGTGGTGATTCTGTCTTAGATTCTTTAGATAAGCGCAATAGTGTCCCTACTCGACCAAATTTTATTGATGTTAGATGCTATATGACGGGTGTCGTGCTGTTTTGTCATTATTTAAACGACGTGTTGGACCATTTCGTGTAAACTGGTGCAGATGTACTTACTTATAGAGGAGTTCCTCTATGTCATCTAGAGCATACGAAACCTCCAGATTTTATAAAGGTTGTTCATGCTTTGGTGTTTCTTCCAGTGGACTTCTTACAATAGACGTGGCCACTAACTATTATTACTTTATTGCCAAATGTATTTGACCAAGAAATCACAGATTTTTTTCTCAGGATATACTGATTGATTGCTTCTGAGTCCTATACTTGAACTCCTGATATTTTTGGAAAATGTAATTAAATCTCTTCAGCTCGTGGCACACAAAATATTGCACTTGTTCTGGTAAAAAAAACGTTGGCATGAGATTAACAACTAGAATAATGGGATTACACTTGATGATAACCTGACTGATTCGAAACTGAGCAAATGTTAGCAGCCTTATCTTCAGCCATTCAAGGTTTGAAGCTGAACCTTTACGACGAAGCTTGAACTATGATGCATTTTGAGCTTTTTTTCCAAGACAAAAGATTATCAACCATCTGACCGATTTGAACCACTTGAACCACAATTCGACCTCGAGTCAAGGATTCTATTTGAACCATTTCATAAGTAGGACCAATTCTCGCGATAAAAGAAGTAGTTCACTATTTTCTCTAAGTTCAGTATTCTGTTACTAAAATTATGTTGCTTCATGTCGTTTTCGTCTAGCCATACCTTAACAACGGCTTTACAATCGCTTTTTAGTGCTACCAAGCACATGGAGTGATAAAAAGTTAGCCATTTTCCTAGATTGATAAAGTACTTGAGAAAACTAGACGTTAAGCAGAACCTCATTCTCGCTACCTCACAGTCATTTCTTCGAGTGTGCCATACCAATACTAACTTTAATGGGATATTAAGCCTACTTCAATACGTCCTTAATGTTTACTTAAGGAGACACTATTATCAGGCGAGTACTTCCCGAAATCCTCTTATGCGACTTGGTCACAAGTGGCAACATTTCAGACGTCTTCGGTGGCTTTCCAAAAATCGTCATATCTATCACGTCAGAAGACTGTATAAAAGCCATTTCAGTTTCAGTTTCAGTTTGGGAAGGACAGGAGGCTTGATGGCCTATGTTAGTCCTGGCAATGGTGGCCTCTCAGTTGATCCAACTTTCTTTTGAAAGAGTCGACGGATAGAGCCTCAACCACATGCTGAGGTAGTGAATTCTACTCGTTGATGATTCGATGGGAAAGTCGATAGTCAGCTGACAAGTAATTTGTTCTCGGCTTATGAACTTTTTTGGAGTGTCCTCGTAAATTCTCTGTTTTGGAAGACAAGAAACATGAGGGCATATCAGATGCAAATTTGGCACTAAGCAATTTGAAAACTGTAATCAAGTCGCCTCTAGTTCTGCGATATAACAACGGGAAAAGGTTCAGCTTGGATTAAGATTATCGTTATCACGTTTACCCCATAATCAAATGAGCCCACACTTAGTTTTTCTTGCTTTTCTCTTCCGTTTTCGCTGCCAGCCCTTGTAATTTTTGGGGATATGTCTTAGCTAAACAATAACCGAAACCGAACATTTGTATATCAGACGTGTTGGATTTCCTTAAACGAACTTTGAAATGAGTGGTTTATTTTGATGGCCAATGCTGTTTTTGGCCATAGATTCTTTCGTTCATTTGTCGAAAAATGCCGATATGTGTTTTGATATCTTTTGCTATTTGACTATCACTATCAAACCTTACTGAGTGAACTCAGTTATGTCAGAAAACAGGGAACTAAACAACTTTGGATTCATATGGCAATTTCATTTCGATGTGTAAAATTTTTACTCTCCAGATCACTCCAGATATTTCAGTAACCTGCTTTTTAGCGACATACAAAGCTTCAGAAGTCAACTATTCAACATATCGTTCCCAAATTGTATTAGGTTTATTATTCAAAACAATTGCATGGCGTACTTATCAGGCCGTCGATAAAATCATAGCCAGCCGATGGCGAAACTTTCCATTACATTTGAGTTCCGTGATTACTTAAAAACTGAGTAATTATAATGTTTGAAAGTATTTGAATTATCGTGTGAACTAGGAATCCCAAAATTAACGCAATTGAATCAAGAATTACTACATAAGCCCGAACGAATGTATTGTATTTAGAATTCGAAATCGATCATTCAACAAGTACAAAGAAACCATTAGTTAACTCAAACACCACAGTAATATTGTCTTGTTTCACTAACATCCATATTAGTTCACTTACTCGGCTCATTTGAGTTAAATATGTAGAAGCCTAAATAAAGTACTGCAGTGAAACTCTAAGGAGTACTGAAATAGTTTGCACCAATAAGTCGTCATCCATAATGCTTTTATTAAGTCCGTAATATCAGACTTTATGCTATACAGTTCAGACCGATAATGTTATTTACCGAATTCCAGAATTAATCATCACCGGCTTTTGGTTAATTTTGGCCATAATGCTCTGACAACGGATGTCAGAAAGTGAAAGTGAAAATGTATGTTGCATCAGGTTTTGAGTATTCATAAAGAGTGATACGTTTTTGTTCTGAAACTCGTTGCTCTTGACTTCAGTCACATTTGGAGATACATTTACGTACTATAATCAACTACAACTTTTACGAGAGCCGTTTTCCTTTTAGACGGACGACATTTTTTAGTTGGTGTCTTTAAAATGACACATATGCGGTTAAATTCTAACAAAGTTGATTTACTTTTCAAGCTTTTGACTTATCACTCTGTTAATCTCAGTTTTAATAGCAGTGTTAGTGATATTTTCACCACATTATTTCAATTGGAAGTGTACCTTATACCTTTTAGATACACCAATGACATCTGTGATAATACAAAAACTCAAAAAAGCTCAGCAACAAGGAAAACAAGATAATCGGACTATACAGAGGTCGGTCGGACGAAATATCAGTGAATTGGAAAGAGAAGAAAAAGATTTGGAAGATTTAATAAGAAGCGCTGCCAGGCAAAACGACAGAGGAGCTTGTGCTATGTTAGCACAAGAGTTAACTAAGATTCGTGCTTTAAAGTCTAGAAACTCTCGTTTTGCAGACCACATGAACATTGTGCAGAAAAAACAAACAACTTCGCTGTACGCAGCCAAATATGGAGAATCACTTGAAGCGGCTGCAACCACCATGAAGAATTTCAACAAGGTATAAATTATTCCAGTTACGTTACTGTAGTAACTTGTAAATTTGATAAGTTAACTGTTTGTCATGGTAGCCCGAAAGTTTACATCATAGTATAAAGGAGTAGTTAGAATTAAAATATAGGAAGATAGTAGCTAGTAGCTCCTGACTTAGTCAGAGAGCATCATCAACATTAGAAGTGTAATAAAGATAACACACATAAAACTGTTTGCCAATTTTGTCGAGCAGTGAGAAAATAAGTACATTAAATTTTTATTAATGAGCAACTTTTATGATACACGGACTGAATAAACGGCACCTTATCCTGGTCATATACTCCAGTCTTAACATTTCGATCCATTTTATGCCTTTGCCTGGTAGTTGACTGTCTGCTGAAGACCAAATCTAGTATCAGTCAGTCGCGTGGTAGATCTGTAAAAATAGTTTTTTGCTGTTCAGCTCCAAATTTTCACAAACAGTAAGCCAGGTATTATAAATCTTCAGTTTATACGAGAATTAGTGGCATTAAATTAGTTAAATAACATGATTCGTTGCATATCTCCGCTTTTCAGTAAAGTTCTTGTTGCTTTTTAACATTAACCATAACTAAGTTTCCGCAAATCAAGTAGGAAATTAGCTCTGGAGTTTCCAAATCCACAACCTGAGAAAAGTGTACAAATTGAGCCATATTTAAGGCAGTTACACATTACACAACGATATATATATATATATGGAAAATAGTTGTCAATATGATTGTACAACTCTGATAAATGGTATCGTAGAGAAAGAAATTTTTTCTGAAACGTTTTTATTTGTTTTACTGGCTTGATAAGTTTTATTTGTTATTCGTCCTTAGTTTTTTATCATGCGTTTGGATGTGAAGTACAGCCTTTAAAACATAATTCATTAACCAAATTTATCTTTTCACTCACACCGGAAAAGTTTCAACCATTAAGGTTGCATTTTTAAACGAGGAACTATATATGATATTTAAATGGAGGTATTTTTAGACATTATTAAATCATTTCAAGTCTAACTGTGAACGCTCATTCAAATGGGAAAATGTTGAGATCTTGGATAGAGGCAATTCTAAGAACACGAGAGAATTTTTGGAAGCTTGATACCCATATCAATCAGCAATCTACAGACACATTGAAATTGATCCAATTTATCAACCAATCAAAAAAATTATGAACAAATATAGGACCAATAATTAAGTCCGTAGGAGATACAACCAAAATAAAGAAGAGAACAGTAACAGGTTAAAGGTCAACAATGAAGAATTATTATAAAGGTCGACAGGACACGCTGTGAGCTATATGTGGAAAAATTCGGACACTTTGCTTCTGCTTAAAGCTTGCGCTGATGACGCTGCTCAGAATAATGACGAAAGTTTCACAACCAAGCCGTTCAGCTCAGAGAACAAAACTTCATCAGAATCATTCATCTGAGCTACAATTCTTTTCTACCAGTTTCTACCTTGTTTCTGATTAAACGACTGTAAACTATTATTGACTTTAGGTGTACCAACGCTTAAGTTCTTGATGCTACTTATAAAATAGCATTAATATGTACAAGGACTTACGTGAAACAAGGCTGGTTTATCTCATTATTTGAAGTTCCTACCGGTGGAGAACTGTAACAGACAAAACACCATAGTGCAGTCACAAATTCCTTCCATGAATATCATGATTACCATCAATTCAGTAAATGGAGACGGTTATCTGGAATGTGTAACTAAAAGATATTTAAGTTTAATCAACCTAACATTTACTTAATTTTAGGTTATGGACAAAACGAAGGTCCCTGATCAACTTAAACAGTTCGATAGGGAAGAATTAAAAATGGATATGTCTGAAGATACCTTAGACACCATGCTATCTTCACTATGCGAATCTGAAGAGGAGGACGTTGATGAGTACATAACAAAAATTTTAAGTGAACCACAAAGTCACGTACCTGATGTGTGGCCCTCTGTTCCTGATACAACTTTAGGAAAGTCCAGTTCCATCTCCAGAAAATTCCGTGACAACATAGTTTAATAACATTTGTGCAAGTATACACACTTTTTGGTCCCTCTAAGCAAAAGCGTTCCAAAAATGCATCTACAACTGTGTACTCCTTTGAAACGAACTTCAGAAGATTCTTGTCTTCCTTACAATTAAAGTTTTGACTTTATGATTCAAAATAATAAACGAAATTTCAATATAAATTTTTAACTTCTATTATATATGACTGATAGAATTTAGTCAAAAGCTCCTGGTATATAGTGTTCTATTTCTATCACGTTTTACCGATCATTTTATGCCTTTTAAATGATTACATCTTCGATCAAACTTTGAATAAGCGATTTTCATCATGAGGTAAGTTTTTCACAGACTGCAAGTAAGAATTTCAAGCATTACATACTTTATAGAATGTAAACGTGTTTCATGTACTCAGGAAGTCGCTGGAAAATTATAAAAAGGGATCTTAATGTTAACATCTGTAAGCTTGTTAGTGTTATTGATCGGCTTCAAGATGATACTTAGTTACCAATCATGAGAATCAACTAGGCTTTGTTTTTTGAAACGAAAGACTTTTATCGACATCTACTATATCCAAGTAATTTGCAGCAACTCGTCTGAAACCCCAACCGGATATGTTTAAATTACATCTAGTTGTTACAAATCATTTTCAGCACTTTATATGTTGATAACCTCTGGGTGGCATCCATCTCCTAACCCAGCCAGACTTTACACAATGAATACAAATATTAATTTAAAAGTAGATATATTTCACATTTATGATAACTTGACTCATTTTCCTCAAAAAAACATACTTTCTTAAATACAGAATATGAAAATTATGCAGTAAATGAAGTTGTAGGGCACTAGTTATGTTCATCAGGAATTACTATTGATTTAACTTTGAATGTATTGATCCGTTAATAGCAATATGGTCTCGAGAAGTTTTCAGATGATGTTTAAAATGATCTCTATGAACTGTAGTGATTAATCAATTTTATCATTTTATGGGCTCACTCCTAATGTTTTAAACGTTTCTTCATATCGTACTATGAATAATTTTACTGACTACATAATTAATCTTAACATTATACATAACTTTAATTTTGTAATTTGGGTTCACACCCTTGGATTGAATGTTACCTCCAACAATATGATCAGCAAGTAAATCAGTTAAATAACTAGCTATAGATCCCTTTCATTACCATTTTACGACAAGTCAGAAGGGTTTTCATCAACAGACTATTTAATAAATAAGTGCGAAAATACAAAAATAATATCACTAGACGACTAAATCTGTTTTAACAAACTGAAATATCATCTGTATGCGGGATTTCTATTATTAATTTGTGTTACTATAACCGTAAAATGGCACAAATATTCACGATTAGACTGTAACGAGTTTGACGAGAAAACTTATTTAAAACCAACAAGCATTTGTTGTTCGCAATAATGATGATGATCATGATGAGTTTCATTATTTACCAATAAATTGTAGTCTTTACTTAGATACTTAGATATTTACTTAAAATGGAAATAATAGGAACAATTCCCACTGATAATTAGCTAAGCTTAGGTGTTTGAAAAAGTATGATTTCCTTAAACTTTCAGGGCAGTCAATTAAAATTAACATAGAACCTGAAACATTTGTAAATCAATACGATGTATCACATCAGGTCATAGACATACATAGATTACGAATGCCAGTTAGCAGAAAAACTAGATACAGAGTCTATTCAAGCAGTTAAAGCTGACGTAGATAAAGAAATAAATCGCAGATAATGTTAACAGAGAAAAAAATTAAAAAAAGAAATCATGTTGGAATCAGACTCGGTAATTTCGCAAATGCATTTAATGACTAAACGGATAAGATAAACAGATTTGTTGCTCTCCAGCTTAGTCAGACAATTTCTAAATGATTAGCTGGTGCATGATGATAAGCATTGCTAACCTTTTAACAGAATATTGATCGTTTATGCTGAATACCGATCATAATATATTTCAATTTATCTGATTTACATGTAATTCAGCTAAAACTCGAATTTAATACTATAACAGATAGTATAAGTGTTAATGTTTATTTACAAAAAATAACATAACTACATCAAACCACTTTCATATTTCAAAATCCTTAAAGGTTGTTTGACAAAATAGCATTCATCAGTCAAATAAATGACTGCCATTCATTCTGAAACACTGAAAATTGAAGTAGTCGATGACTTAAATTTCAGAAAGACGATCTTGTGAAATAAATTTGAAAAGTAATGACTAATTTACAGAAGTTTACTAAGAATCTTGGATTTGATTGAAATTAATAAAGGAGCAGAGTATGTAAATAAATATTGAGCTGGGTAAATTTCCAGGATAATGAACCACGAAGAGTAGAAGTCTCGTTCTCTGACGAGGATAGCTTCGTCATGAAGTTTTGTTGTTCGTCTGAATAACATCAACACAGAGGCATTACACTACTGTCAATACCAGGGAAGGTCTTCAACAGAGTGTTGCTGAACCGGATGAAAAATGCAGTAGACGCCCAACTTCGAGATCAACAAGCTGGATTCCGTAAGGATCGGTCGTGCACAGGCGAATTGAGACACTAATAATCATCGTCGAACAATCAGTTGAGTGGATCTCGTCACTGTACATCAACTTCATTGATTATGAAAAGGCATTTGACAATGTAGATAGAAGGACGTTAAGGAAAACTCTTCGACACTACGGAGTTCCTGAGAAGACTGTCAACATTATCCGGACTACAGTGCAAGGTGGTGTATGGAGGACAGCCGACAGATTCATTCCAAGTAAGGACCACCTGTCTACTCTCTCCCTTCCTCTTTCTTCTGGTGGTCGGCTGGATTATGAAGACCTCGACATATGAGGGAAAACATGGCATACAATGGACAGCTCAGAACCAACTAGAAGATTTGAACTTCGAAGATGACATAGCCCTCCTGTCGCATAGACTCGAACAAATGCAGATAAAGACAGCCAATGTAGCAGCATTGCGAGACAAGCGCTAACTTGGAATCCTGAAGGGAAGTGGAAAAAAGGAAGGCTAAAGAACACATTACGTCAGGCAATAGAGTCAGATATGAAAAGGATGAATAACAACTGGAAAGAGCTGGAAAGGATTGGCCAGAATAGGGTTGGATGGAGAATGCTTGAGAGCGGCCTATGCTCCTTCACGAGGAGTAACAGGCGTAAGTAAGTAAGCTTGATAACCTTTCTATCTTATTTTCACTACACGCATTTGCGCACTACTGATTATTAAATGTAACATATAACACAAAACATTTATATTTATATCCAACTTAAATTCCTATTTTCTGCTTTTATATAGTTAGTTTTGTTAGTTAACTGCTTATCCAAATTTACTTAAGCTTTAATTTCCAATTTTTCTGTTACTATTACATCTTTAAATTCACTCATTTTGAGATCGATTTTCTATTCTATCGTGAAACACATATACTAGTGTGAAGGTCTAATGAGGAACTAATTGAAAAGAAATATTTCTTCAATTAGCTTTTATTTTGAAGTAAATTTCATTGTATTTGTGCATAATCTATTTATTTACTTTAAAATAGATCTTTAAATCAGGTGATCTTTACATAATCAATTCTGATTTGTGATAGAAAATATGTAGACAGATTTGTGTTTTTTTTATGGAGACGATTTAATTATGCTATAATAAAAAAGTGTACTGGTGTTTATAAGAATGATTAACTCCCCAGTTTACCATTTTGGTGATCGATTACAATGCAGTTCACTCAATAAACATTTATCACGGTAGATCTAAAATTAATAAATCTGAAATATTTTGTTTGTTGACAGAAAATATAATGATAATCAAACAACAGTTTGCTAATCCACATTTCTTGTGTTTGAGGCTACGCGAATAAGATGTCTTCAACTAGCGATCTCTTCTTTGAGAATGAATAGACTTCATTATATTAAGTCATTTTTGAAGCCACATAAACCTTCATTAGTTGACTAGTTATCTCTCCGGATTGTTTATCTGCAATTCAGTCTCCGATTACTTCACCGTCATTTTGTCAAAACGAATAATAGTATCTTGTTAGACAACTTGTAAAAACCTCAGAAGTGTAGGGGATACGATTTCCTCATGTTATTTTCCATGAAAAAACATTATCTCTTGCATAATTCATGGAATGTTGTTGAAAAAATTATTTACTCCAATGTCATACGACGTCTTCGAACGCTTTACAGCTAATTAACTGTTCAGGTTATCAGCGAATAAAATCGGACGACATTAAAAACATTTAAACAAACTTATCTCACTAAAACGCTTGATTAAAAACGGACTAAATTCAAAATATTTTCGCAAAATAGTTGAATACAAAAAAGAATAAAGAGTACTGTGACGTGATGTAAAAAGTAATTTAATATGAAAAATCATGAGTTAACATCAAATAAAAGATCATTGAGACCAATCGAGTACTAAACAGCTGTTAACCCTCGGTGTTACTTGATATACAGTATACATAATTATTGTACATGACTTCAATTTTAGATTCTTCAAATGTGTTGTCGTCAAAACAGCATAAAACACATAACTAGCTTACATTCCAAATTCTGTGAATCATAATCAATAGCATAAATTAAATAATAAAAATATATACGTGTGGTCTTTGAAAATTTTTAATAGAGATATATTATTATGCTCAAGTGATAGAATAAATGAAACATTTATAATTGTCAGAAAAAAAACTTATGAAAAAATGGAGTTCTAAATAAACTCATTACGAATTATGTAAAATAGTATCCTAAAAACTATAAGCAACTGACTATTTTCAAAATACTTATCGCCATACTTATATTGAATAAAGTCATTAATAACAAAAATATGATTTCCAAAGCATTCAAAGCCATCGACGAACAGCCAATATCAATTTTATTCCATTTTTCAGAGACATCTGATATCAGATAATCCCACTCTTATCTGTGGGTACGAAATGAGAGCGTGGAAAACTTTATTTTGTTATGGTAATCGTGGTTTTAATTAAGCAATCTATACTTCTTACATTGTCTTATTGATGTCTAAATACCAGCCTAATTTTAATCCTGATTATGTTGACCAAAAAAATTCCATTCGAGTTCAAGAAGGTATAGGAATAATTGGTTTAGGCCAGTATTTTATTTAACATTTTTCTTTCTAACCGGGTATAGTTAACTAATTAAATCTTCA